TGTCCGCTAACCACTTTGGGTGCACTTAATTTTACAACCGTGGCAAGGCACATTAGCCGTGTGTACATCATTCGGACGCCCCAAATTACCCCGGCGGTTGTTTATGCGTTTTTCGTGACCAGGCGAGTCCTCCCGTCGTTAATATATCAAAATAACACGACCGGGCAGAGCATGTTTTTTGGGGCGTTTGCAAGAATTAAATTCACTCGTCCATCGACACCACAGCGAGAGAACTTTACCGCGAAACAGAGGCAGAACTATCCGGCGACTAGTTTGTATTACTATTGTTATTGATATTGTAAATTCTAAACAAGGCATTGTACGCAGATGATGACAATAGTCCATGAAGATGCCGCGTTGTGGAACACGGACAATATATTGAATGTAAAACGAAAATAACTAAAAAATATATTATATTATATTGTTAATATTATCTTCGTGTAATACTCGCACGGCTAGTACCGAAACGCGAGGAAATGAGAAACTCTTGAAATAAAAATCCGATAAGTACAATATAATTTTCGTTTATATTATTTAAAAAAAAAATTACTTCGCTTTCATTTAGGCCTCTCCGTCGATGCGATTGGTTTTGACGCGAGTCGATTTTCTTTCCGAGCTGTCAAAATAAATAGAATAATATAAACATGCCAAGACTTAGGCTCTAGACTTTCAACAGCTATAACGAGTAAATTAATATATTTTAAAATGAATAAACAAATAACTAAAAGCATCTTATTGATTTTACTCAAGAGACTATCTATAATGGACTGTCATTTTTCAATACTAGTACATTTTTTACTTGCAATTTCCATTGATCTTCGACACATAGTTAGATATTTTCAATAAATTATGAGAAAAAAAATGATTAATATATTTTGGATTATATACTTATTTGGTAATAAAAATAATTTGTGACCATCTCTCGCAGATGTAGAACAATATTGTTTTAAGTTTAAAATAAATTTGCATACTACGTTCATATTGTTTAACTGAGAAACCGCTACCTACTCATCCGTGGTTCAGTAAAACGATAATTATAAACAGGCTTTCCTTAGTATCCTCAGTTAATATTACACAACAACATCAGACATGCTTTAAGACCATCAAGTAAAGTTAAATATATATTTTGATAACTATATTGTGTCCGTATGTAGTAATTATAAACTTAATATATCACAACGCAAGCTACTGTCTGAACAATCAAGTCATCCCGCCGGTTGACCTCGCACAGTCTGCTTGAAACGTCTAATTATTAAAACAATGAGGTCGTAATTGATATATTGTCCGTTGAGTTATCAAGTTTAAACTCTTGTACATTCACGTGACTTGACATGAAAAATATTATAGCTAGAAACAGAATTCAATGAATGTCTTATGGCGTTGATCTTAAACCAACACAGAGTGTATTATAAACATTCGGATCCACGGGAATAGAATGTTACCTTTCATTACATTAGAGAAGTGACAAAGAAACTAAAAGGTTTTGAATCAAGTAAGGTTCGTGGAGCAGTATAAATCTAACACAGAATTTATGGACATTTTAAAAGAGACAGCAACCGCTTTCATAGACCATTACATGCGATTTGTGAAGTTTAAAATAACTTTTAACAAATTGATAGTTTTTTTAACTGTTGTGATTCCAGTTATTATTTATTTATTTTTCAGTATTGAAAAACATCACAGATTCCTCACTGAATGTCACAAGATTATTGTGCGGTTATCTATTTTATTGATAAAACTCATACCTAATGCGGTTTCTAAGATTTAAATATCAAAGCCAAAATAATGTTATGGATTTCCGAGGAAGTGACTGTACAGGAAAATCAAAGAGAATAAATGCATTTGAATTACATACTCTCCGAGTCAGCGACATTTCAAGTATTGTACTTTACTTTCTTTTAAACAGATGATCCTTTAAAACATATTTAATTAAAGAACCGTTACCTATTAACCCTGAGATTTCCTTATTACACTTATACAAGCATTGCCTAAAGTCTAAATTATCATTGGTTTCTAGACAATAAGTCAGTTCGGCTACAAAGTAAAAAAATACATTTTAATTGGGTCACTAAACGAAACAAAGGTGCACAAAAATGTATTCACGTATCCACTTAATACGGTACAGCCAACAGATTATTAGGTTATGTTGAATGAAAAACCTTATTAATATAATTAAAACGGTACATTTTTATGTAAACGTTCATAACGTGCAATTTACCTTTTTTAAATTCTGTGTTAATTGTATCATAGGTACTATGGAAAAAAAATTTAATAAAATCTAGGTACATATTGAAATATTTGTCAAAATAAAACACTCATCTACCTACTACTAAACATGTACAAAAAACAATACCAAATAAATGTCATCATGGCTAGTGTACCATGAAAGCATGATCAAAAAAAAAAAGTAAATGTCTATTATATTTAATATTCTGCAGTTTGGTAACTTGATATTCTTTGAATAATTTTTGTAAGCTTGTTAATAACAAAGTTATAAAATATCGAATAAGGGTCATGTATATTATATTGTTAGTAATGATCCATAACATATTTATTGTTAAAAAACCATACTTATGGGAGTTTAAGTAAAATATTGCTTTTCAACCGCAATTTAAGATTTTACGACTTTATACAAATTATTATGATGCAAATAGAAATAACATTCAATAATAATAACAATAATAATAGCTATAACCCTGAACAGATTTATTGAGATCAATTTTAAAAAAAATGACCTCAATACAAATACTTTGCTCGTACCATAGTTATACATTTAATTGAATTATTTTTTTGTTTAGATTTTATTTATTTTGATGTTGTGTTCGGTTTTTGGCAAGTAAGCTTTTATAATATTTTAACATTCAATCAATAATGTTTTTAGTTAAATTTTTTAGTTCCATTTTCAAATAATTAATACGCAACTACTTTATTTATCTAAATATTACTTAGTTAAATGACTCATGAATTTAAACTCTATAAACAGGTAATCAGCTGTCGAGTCTAAGGATAAGTAAAGTAAATCACTTACAATAAAAACTCTTTGATGTGATGTATAAATAGTAATATCAGATAATTAAATTTAGTATGAAAGTGATAACAATTGTTAAATTATGTACACATACATTTATCTTGGAAGTTTCAATCATTTCTAACATATTTAGCCTTACAAGTGTATCTAAAAACAAACAATTAATCAAACTATTTCGCTTATAAATTCATTAAATTTACTTTACTTCCAAAAAATACGAAACATCTTAAGGAAAATAACAATGAAACATAAATTGAAAAAATAAAATGAATTATTGTAAAAATTTGAAAATACTTGAGAAATCTTAAAAATTACCGACAATTCCTATTTGGTTAAATTTATGATTAAAAATAGTATTCAAAGTTTGTTTTCGACTGAATAGTTCTTTTTAAAATCCGAAGATTTACATAAAGCTTACAGTTCCAACAAATAAATTAAAGGGTATGTATGAAAAAAACCTTTAATTGTTTAAAATGTAATTAAAAATGATGAAGTTATCTAAATGTTACATCTTTATTAGCGTTTCATGAATGTTTCATAGAAAATGTTAGTTAAATAAATAAATAAAATATTTAGTACTGAAATTTTAAATCCAAAATCATCGAATTCAAGTGCTTAGATCAAGTCGATAGGTCACGTACAAGTGCGTTGGGGTATAAAATGTAATGTTATCGTAGAGTATAATATTATATGTACCCTTACAACCAAAGAAACTGCTAGTAAGCAAAAGAATCACAATATACTAAATTCGATTAGGAGTATAAAGTTGAGATACTGATTGCCACTTGGAAATGAAAAAATTAGATCGGAAAAAGGTTGGTGCTTAAATAATAATAATTGCGTTTGTGATTGACAAAAAAATTGAGTAGTCAATAACTAAAAGATAAACTCTAATCTTTGTATTAAATGGAAAGATAGCAAACTAGTTAAAATGTCAATTTAAATCCTCGGAACATGCAGTAAAATAAAATGTTATCAAATTCAAAGTTCAGTTATGAGTTAGAAATCTTAGAAGTGTAAAACGAAAAATCAACATGTTTACATAGAAACCGTTTTCAAAATGTTGACTATTCCCACCAATAAATACAAACTACATATTAATTAATAAAAAAAATGTTTGCTTTTATTTTAATTAACAAATTAGTTCAATCAATTCCCAAACGTCCTTTCACATTGGTTCCACCCCAACTTTACAATACAGTACTCAAAATCTATTTTTTTTATTCTAGTAACAACAATAGATATGTCAAAAATATATTTTTTTTTTTAAGAATGACACTAATCATTGTTAACCTTGAACCTTTCCAACTATGATTTTACATATATTCTCTGTATAAGTTCTTGCTAATTAAAGCTAATTAAAAAAATCCTTTGACTTTAAGACACTTTCAAAGTTTATCATAATTTTAAACAATAACAACCTTTCTTAGTTAACTAAAACCTAAGTATCGTAAATCAGCTTAATTAATTATAGAACTACACTTTTAAACACGTCGACAGTAAAATGCCATTTAAAATATGATTTTATTGATATTTTATAAATGAGAAATATGTATTTTTAATATTAGTTCTTGTATTTATACTAAACAAATAAATAAAAAAGTACAATACGTATTAATACACACACTAGCAGTTACCGCTGGGCGCTAATATATTTAACAAAATATTTTGAACACATTTTATATACCGTCTAACTGTAATTTCTATTTAAAACAATTACGCTTTAATATTTGAAAAAAAATACGCATAATATGTTTATAAATAAATATTTTTTCTATTTTTAAATCTTCAAGTGGGCTGTAGTTGAATAGTTATTATAATAGATAACCATTAAGGTCTATTTATTATATTTTAAAACTGTCGAAAATTTTGGCCATCAGCCCAAATAGTCGTTTCAACTATAGGTGCGTGTATAATTTATTTCCACTTTAATTTTACCTTCCACTTTTTAAATTAATCACTGTAGACTTACCATTGCGTAGAGGGCACTAGCATAGCATCCAGTCCTAAGCGACTGAAAACAACAACAGGATTGGAGAATAGCCATAGCGACGCAGAGTAGGTGTTTTGTTTTATTTAAAAAACCGCATAACAAAGCATTTCATCCGATCGTGTTGACTCTCTAAAACAAAATTATTTCAAAATAATTTTACGCTTTTAAAATATTAGTTATTGATAATAATTGACGTATTTGTCTAAATAGTTGTACACATATTAGCAACTTTTTATTTTTTTCAATCCTATTACAAAATAAAAGTTTAAAAAAATAAGACTATTTGAACTTTAATACTACTTATGGATTCGAACGATACAATTTTTCTGAAAATAACGGATCAAAAACCATTTTTGAATAAATGCTTTTCGAGTTATAAAACGATTAAGTAAAGTACGGTAGAACGTTGACCCGCTTAAACTGTCAAGAGCTAATTATTTACTCCACAAGTTTTAAAAAATGTTAATCTAACGAAAATGAATAGAATGTTTAGTTTTCTTAAGGATATTTCAATGAATATATAGTCTTCGTGGGACACACTCTCTCTCTCTATATTCATGTTTTTTATGTCTTTGATTTGTTTGTTGTTCGGACTCATTGCAGAGCTCAAGTTGCTAGTACACATAAACAGCGGTAGAAATAAGCGAAACAGTCAGCATAGTCGCTTCAGTAGAACGGTTACTATCGCTCTAAGGATGGAGACTCTGCAATGAATTCATTGTACCGAATTGTTAGCAACAAATCAAATCGATCCTACTGCGTATCAGTAGTCACATAAAAGTAAATGCGGTATACTGTATATACCGTCGTCATCATTTTATAAGTTTATATGGACATTATAAAACACCTAACTTCCTGCCTTCTATGGACATGCAATATAATTAGTGTATGATAAATATCACATGCGTGCAAAAGGTGTAAAATGAAACTTTTGCAGAGATTCGTTTTTTTTTTTAAGCATTAAATACATTAATAAATTTACATATACATAAATCATTCGTTTATTAATGTAATTAATACAGTTTTCCATAATACTTTCATTAAAAAAAAAAATCATAAATACGATAAAGACAGAAAAGATAGATTTAGTCCGCCCAATAAGAACGCCAATAGAATATAATATAGGTTAAAATCTAAAGTAACAACAATCAACAATCTACTTGTGCAACTGAGTTTAATTATTCAGAGTCTATAAGACAAAGTGACATAATCATAATGAGTAGTGGAATACATTTCACTATTGCATACAATTATAATACTATAGATAACGTGCTATAATAATGTTAATTATTATTAGTGAGAATACTAATGTCTTTGTATTAGAATTCCATAGAATCTCAACTCAAGAGCTATTAGGTAATCACATTAATATGCAATTTCTCGACTATACTGTCTCTGGTTATTAATGCCTGGCAACCTGCAAACAACCATTGATTTAGTGGATAAGTAAAGGGAAGCTAAAATCGAATCAGAAATCAAACTTAATACGTTCTACTAGTCACACCAATTAGTTTAATATTATAAGGTAAATAACATGTATGTATATTATGTCAATAATATAAACCTAATAGTATATATTACATATTACATACTACATGTTACTATTTCAGATGTTCAATTTTGGTTTTCCGCCTCTCGGATATTTAACCAAAGTCACATTTGTAACACGGAAAAGGGCGTAGGGAACTAAATCGCTTAAGCATTTAGAATTCTTGTCAAAAAAAAAAAGGGTGAATTAGTTACTTTTCCTGACACGCCATTATGAGTGGACAACACTTGAAGGACAGGTCAAAGAAAACCCGTTGTCCAACGCTTAAGTAGGGAAGATTGGTACGGGAAAAATACAATGTCCGACCTAGCTGACAAATGAGTATAGAAAGGGCATAAAAAATGTTCAGACACCTCGAAAAACCTATACTGTTACCTGTTCTAGGCCATATTATGAAGAGAGCCTCACGCTGTTTTGGCAATTCCACATACAATACTATGTAAAATAGTGGTCAAAAAAGTGTGAGATATCATGTAATTTGTTTAGAAGAATCACATGAGAAATACAATTATTCGCTGGTTAAAAAAAAAGTCACATAATACACAATTTTTTATGTATATTTATATATAATAAAAATTACTCGTAGTATTGTATTTATTTTACTATTAGTTTATTGAGGAATCCGGTACACTTTTCTGTAATCATTCTACATTTGAATTTTTTATTTTTTGTGAGTATTCAGTGAGTACGCATACTAATATGATATATTTTAATATTTTTGAAATAAAACTTTAAGAATTTCCGCTGTCACTTGTCTCTCTCGAGGTCAGTTTAATAAGAAACCAATGTTTGCGAAGTCCTATATTAAATTATACAAACTGTGCGGTTTTTAAGTTTATTGGAATAACTTCTCGGGGAAAATAGGAAGTGTATCATTTTGTTAGTGTGCTTAGTCAAACAAACATAAATACTCAAAGAATACATTTCGTAAAAAAAAAATTATAACACTAGTAAGAAAATACTACAAGTTTAATATTAGATGTGGAACAACAAAATGTTTACACAGTTGAAAGCTTGCTCGAGCTTTTGTTATATATTTTTGAAACGAACAGAGAACATTCAAATACTTGTATTTACATTGCATATAAACTATGTTACGATTATTTTTACATGTTTCAGAAAAAGTAGTAAAAATTAACGAGCCATTCCCCATTGCAACTTGTTATTGAGAAATGTGATGGAAAAAAAAAACTTTTGCGGAAACAATTCAAACCACATAAACAATATTTTATTAAATTTATAATTGAAAGATAAATCATATTTCTCATATATTAGAACTTATTTATCCAAGCTATAATGGGGTTTTCTAATTAATTATTATTGTTTTTTTACTTTAAAAACAAAAACTCATATACATCTTAATTAGTTATTACAGGCGATGCTTTTAAGATATTATAATCATGGTTGTTTTATGAATTTTAATACGTTTATAGTCCATTTTTCCAAGATAACATAAATAAAGAAAAGCATAATGACTTTCGGAGATAATGAACGGTTTTAGTAAAATAACATAATAATAATAATATGATCATTATACCGGGCGTTGTTTTTTGTAATTAATGTAACATTTAAATACGTTTAAGATTTTATTTATGATTTCGTTGTGAACTTTCGAGTTGTTAAAACGTTTTTTACTGACGCCCCTTTGTACCTTAAGAAAACATAACGTCGTGCCAAGTGCAGTCGTAAAATGTTGTTGTAAATTATAATATGTCAACAAGTATTATGAATTATCATTACTAGACGTCTGGTTAGTTTTAAAAATTTATACTTTTATACGCTATATAAGTTGTTAATTGTTATGCAACTTTATTAGTAATTGATCAACCTGATACTTTCATTTTTTCATAAAATTAAATACACAGACTAGTAAGTGTCATTATTTCATCAAATATACACATCAACGGAACACATAATTTGAATATTATATAAATATTAAAATAAAAATGTGTATACACTGCGGCACGTTTTGTTGTAAAATAAATGGCATTGAATCGCCACAAAACGTAACGGTCACAGGCAACTAATATCATAATAGGAGAAAGTCATATTCACTATATAATATGTAAAATGTATTGTTATGATAATATCATTAAACTGACAAAACCGCTGGAGTATAATTAATCACAGTTAACCACAATAAGTCAGGAAATGGTCAGGTGAAATAATTGTATGTGAATGGGACGAATGTGAATTGAATTTTCTTATTTATAAAATCTGTCAGGTTAATTTAATTTGAATTAATAGTTTTTTATTGTGCGTATGCGTTACACTATTTAGTAAAATAATTTTTTTTTTAGTTAATTCTGTTTCTTGCAACTGTTAGTTAAAACTGTAATTAAGAATTGCCGTCGTGTGGTTATTTTACGACATAAAATGTTTATTTATCTTAATTTATGTCAAAACTATTTTGAATTACGAGTACTTGAATATGCGTACTAAAACAGCGCAAATTGAGTTTTAATTTTAATAAGTAAAAACCATACAGAATTTTATCTAATATGTTTTGCTAACATCCATTACTATGAGTACACTTCCATTAGCTTTAAAAATACCATTATCAACAATTTCTCAACATCACCGTGATTTCCTGCTTTTAAAGTGCTACAAAACTGGTGGTAAATAATTCTATGGGGTTTTTAAAGAAATACTAAATATTTATTAACACGACGGCTTGAAAATACAGATTACTTAAGTTTTTTCAGAGCCCAACTTTTATCAGTTATGATGCTATTCCAAGCAACATGAACTAACTGATCTAAATTACTAATATAATTATTTAATAAGAAATTATATTATATTATAATAACACTCTGCGTTTGGTTATTCGACTTAGATTTCTAAAAAAATCGGATTTTTTGCCAACAACGAATTTATGAAATGAAAATAATTGACATAATATAATAATACAATATTATACTATATTATAGTATGTTAATTGTGAACATTTATCTTTATTTTTAGTTAAACATATCTGAGTATGAAATTTAAATGTATGTATTAATAGTAGTTCTAATTCAAAAAGTAAAAAAGAATTATTTAATACTTTTTTGTGTAAAACTTTAGGATAATGTTAAAACTAATAGTACGAGTACTAAACATGCGATACATTAAATGTTTTAACGATGTCATAAATTATGTAATAAAATAACTATTACTATAATATTGTTGAAATTTAAGCTATAAAAGTCAACGATGCTTTTTATTTGACAAAACATATCAATTGTAACACGAAAATTCACTTAACCTTATTTATAAAATGTAAACCATACCAATGGATGAAAACTGATTTTTAACGATTTAAAGAGACAAGATGAGTAATCATACCACCAAATTGACGCGATTAGTGTTTTATAATTTAGTAAAAAAAATTTTGTAAGCGGAAGAGAAAACGAACAAATTTAGTGTTTACATCTTTAAAAATTATGAGGCAAACGATTCCAAAGAAAAATGTTCATAGACGCCAAATAACATCCCATTATAAGACCAATTTCATTTTTATTTAGCTAACTTATAACGCGATGAAGTAAGACTCGTATAATTTATCTCAAGAAAAAAAGTTTTATGAACTACTGTCAAA